AGTCGCTAAGATACTGAGCTTATCAATCAGAAAGGTTGACAGTTCCGCGGTTCGAATCTCTAGTGCCGTATAATGGAGTGAGCTCCTGTGACTTATCCCAGCTTCTGCCAACCTAGCAGTTCGAAAGCACGTAAAATGCAAATAGAAAAATAGGAACCACCTTTGGTAGGAAGGTAACAGCATTCCTTGCACCTTCGGCGTTTAGTCGGCAACACGACCACGGAGATGTCTACGGACAGTGCTCGCTCTTCAGTTTTGAAACGGAGATGAGCACTGCCCCCTAGAGTTGGGAACGACTAGCACATATGTGTGAGGGGAACCTTTACCTTTTTAAAAGGCCTTAAACATACTTTCAAGAGAAACTGATATTTATTTAGCAATTTAAAATTTGCAGGCTTTGGGATTTTTTTAAATAAGAAATTCCTTTCCACAAAATAAGATTATTATTATTTTGTCTAGGCAATAGGTTGGCCATCTATCAAGATGTTCCATGTTGATTGTACAGTATGTATGTATGTATGTATGTATGNGAGAATGTTTGAACATTGGAAAACAATTTATCCAGTCTCAAATTTCACTGAACAACAATTAGCAACTCAAAGGACATTCATTATTAGAAATCAATTTTTTAGTGATGCAGAACTGAAAGATATTCAGAAAAATTGTGAAAATGGAACACCTCTGTCAGGGTAATGATGATTTTAATAGCTGACCAGTTGCTCTAAGGCTGTACAGTGAGATGATGCAATGAGAATGAGTCAGCAGGGTTACTTCCACTTTAAGAAACTGTCTATATAAGGGAGGCATCTCTCTCTCTCTCTCTCTCTCTCTCTCTCCTTCCCTCACCTCGTTTATCTCTCTCCTAGTGTTCTATCTCCATTGTGGTTCCCAGTGTAGAGTTGAAGATTGATAGCCTAATATATGCCTAACATATGTATGTATATATGTCTTGTATATAAACCACTGTTTGAATGCACTCTGTATTGAATTGAAAAAGTAATGCTCAAAAAAGACCTAGCATTTATAATGAAAGATATAAATGAGGCAAATTCAAGGATTAAAGCAATATGTATGGAACAGCTTGTATGGACCAATTAGCTTGCCTATAGTACAGCAGTGGTGATCATAGAAGAACTGGGTATTAAAATTACAAAACAAAAAAAACATCATCATTCAATCCCAAAATGGAAGATCAGATTGAAGGTCAAGATAAAGGGATTAAGATCAGATGTGAGCAGTGGTGCAATTCAACTGGTTCTACCTGGTTCAGGCGAACCAGTAGCGATGGCAGCGGGAGGCTATGGCCACCCGCCTGGGCATCATCACGTCCCGTTTTTGAAGCTCTGTGCATGCACGGAAGGTCCTGCGCATGAGCGGAGGTGGCGCGTGCACTCACATTTGCGGTGGTAGTGAAGGTAAGTTGATTTCACTCCTTGGTGTGAGTAATTTGAAGAATATGAAAGAGCAAAAATGGAAGAATGGAAGGAGCCTAATAAAAAAAAATATTGGCTTAGCACAATTGAGAAACTTTGGAAATCATAAAGTAATAAATAAAATCAATAGCTGGGGGAATAGAATGCTATGAGGCATGAATCATCCAATTTAAGTAAAATCAGATGTTTCAATCATACCAGAGGCGATTCTACCAAAGTATAAAAAGGTAATAGAAATTCTGAAAATGGAAAACGAAACAAAAATAATTCAAGAATCCACAATTTCTATCAGCTCAAATTACTCTTTATTGTATGCCAAGAAAGCAAAGACAAGATCAGGCCTTGAGAAGGTCCTTTTATTTATTTTTTACCATTGCTACCAAACTATGAAACAAGCGGAAAACAGCCCTTGTGATTTGTCTCACCATCCAAATGCTAGGAGGTACTCTGGGTGCCATTGAAAGGGAATGAATAGGTTGTACACCTCCTGGACTCCTTTTTTTGCATGGGTTGGTGGGCTGCTTCCAATGGCTGCATTGAAAAGGGGGAAAGTCTGTTAAGAAATAGCTGTTCCAGTGATGGGATTCAGCTGGTTTGCAACAGTTCAGACGAACCGGTTGTTAAATTACCCACCACCCTTGCTATCAACGTGGATCCTGGGTGCTGCACTGCAATGGAGAAACGGACAACAGAGTGGCCGGTGTGAGGGAAGGAGAAGGCCGCTTTCCCTGTTTCTTTTCCCTGCTCCTTCTCCTTCCCTTGAGCCAGCCGCTCTGTTGCCCATTTCTCTATTGCAGTGCAGTGCAGCGCCCAGGATCCACTTTGATGGGGGGGGGGGGGTAATTTCACAACCGATTTGCCCAGGGTCAGGTTGGCCATCACAGGAGGCTTGTCCTACATGTGCAGCAGAGGATGGGGATGGGCCATGCCTTTTGTGTCAACCAGCCTGACCCTAGGTGAACCGGTTGTTAAATTATTTGAATCCCACCAACGATGCTCTAATGGGTGAATGTGATAAGGTAAAGTCTCTTTCAAGTCAAGCTCAACATAGTAATTTAATGAACATATCTATATAGTAGTTTTGATCAGGCATAAAGGTCTGATCAAAAGAGAAAATGGTCATACTAGTTTCTGCTAAACCCTGAGCTGCCCAGGAATACCCACAAGTTATGGTTGAAAAAAAAGTTAAGGAAGCAAATATGATGGTGCAATTAAAGCTCTGTCTGTTTTTCGGGCCACACATGAAAAAGTGATACATCTTGCATCACATCTTCTTGGTTGCCATCTGGACTTTTTTTGACCGTACTCTATAATCACACCTACCAGAATCAACTCCCTTTATATCACAATAAAGTAGGCTGATACTCTGTATGTCTAATTTGCACTTGTACCTACAACTCATTACAGCATATAAAAAGTAATTCATTGACTCATTGGATTAGACCATTCCACAAATGATGATTAAAATCAGTTTTACAGATTATCATCAGGAACAGGCTCAGTTGGTGATATAGGGCCAGTTTCAAGGATACTTGACTGTTCTGACAACACCCCCTCCCCCGTCGCCGTCCAGGAACGAAAGCCAAAAACAAACGAAAATAAGAATACTTTTAATCANGTATGTATGTATGTATGTATGTATGTATGTATGTATGTAAAAATTGGGTTTTACTTGTGATTAAAGTCTTTTAAGTATCTCATAATAATTACCTTAAAGAAAGTGGGGGCAGGATTGGAGAGTGTAGATACAAATACATAAACTGTTTTTTTCAGTTTGATGTTAATATAAATAAATGGTTATATCCCAGTGAGCTTTTAGGAAATGATAAATATGAGGGAGATGGACTTTATCACCGTTTAAAAGGGATAAATAAAAATAAATAAATGCTATAACCTTTTACTTCAAGATTGATATATGTACTTAAGGTATTTCAAATTCCTTGGTGGCTGGTTAATTTAGAATTTGCTGGTTGGATATCAAAGAAGTTGTATGCCAGACAAGATGCAAGCGTAATTGCAATTAATAATAAAAGTTCATTAATGAAAATCCAGTACTTATAACATCAGTGATTCCTCCCCCAGCTCCCTCAGTGAGCCAAAACAATAGGAAGGAAGTTTCATGGAAATGATTCACAATGGGGTTGCTTTTATTGGGCATGTTTTATAGCAATAGCACTTAGACCTATATACCGCTTCACAGTGCTTTACAGCCCTCTCTAAGCGGTTTACAGAGTCAGCCTCTTGTCCCCAACAACCTGGGTCCTCATTTTACCCACCTCGGAAGGATGGAAGGCTGAGTTAACCTTGAACCTGGAGAGATTCGAACTGCCGAATTGTAGTCAGACGGTAGTCAGCAGAAGTAGCCTGCAGTACTGCTTTCTAACCACTGCACCACCACGGCTCTTATAGCCCTTCAACCTCTCTCCTCACCATGATGTTGCTCAATTTAGGCATCAACAAGGGAAGGTTACAAAGGGGATTAGCTGCATTCCTAAAACCTTGGCAATGGGTCTCTAGCTAAGTAAAAAAAAAAGCAAGTAATTATCTAAGTGGGGTTAGAGTAGGATGTTTATTATCTCATATCTTGAAAGGGTAAACAGGAAGAGCTTCTATGTGTATGCTGCTTCCAGATGTTAATTGAAAATTCAGGTCAATCACAGGACAACGTTGATATATTATTAAAGTTTTAATGGGCAGAAGGAACACCTTTGTTTCTCTTAATCGTGGCTGCTATACAATGATGGGGTTTTAACTTTCTTGACTTTCCCCTTTGTTCCTGGACTTCTGTTTCTTTATCAGGTTCACTGTGATATGGGCACACTTCTAAAGTTATTGTGTGACTCTAATATCATGGCATACATTTTGTTCTTCCTTAAATTATAATTCTACTATAATATAAGTCTATAAGACATATTGGGAAATATAATTTGGACCTGATTCACGGGGCAAATTTAAAACACCCAATTATTCCAGTTTGAACTCCAGTCTTTTTTTTAATTTGGGGGGAAATAGTTTGCTAATGGGATTATTAATACTTTAGGTTAACATATTGCTAATCAATTTTTAAAATCATTTGAGTTATTACAAGTAAAATTTAAACGTTTAAAACTGCAGATTGTCCATATCTACAGTTGTAACCATTGAATAAGTTCACCATTGAATCTACCCCATTTTCCTGAAAATAAGACCTCCTCGGATAATAAGCCCAATCGGGCTTTTGAACACATGTGCTAAAATAAGCCCTCTCCCGAAAATAAGCCCTTTCCTAAAGATGTTAAAACACAGCAGCAACTATGAGGTGACCACGCCCACTGCCTCCTGCCCCTCAGAAATAATAAGACCACCCTAAAAATAAGTCTAAGCACTTATATATTTTTTGGTTTTTTTTTTTTCAAAAAACAGGGTCTTATTTTCAGGGAAATACGGTAATTGTGTCATTCCTTTATTTTTTCATCAAATGTGTGTACTGCCAAATCTTGAAAAACCAATATAATAAAATACAACCAAATGTGCTTCAATAAATANATTCCGAGGATGAGCTTAGCTCCATTCAGAACAGGCAAATTCTTCAGATCCATCATTCAGCAACCACAGTGCTTATGTTTTGTCAGATTTCATGGACTTTCATTGTGCGCGCTCCCGCTACCAAACTGGTAGTGAAGAAAAGAGGATACCATTACTGACCCCTCTCCATGCAAATTGGAAGCATTGCAAGGCCCTTGTTATCATTCCTGCAACAGTATGCCTTGGAAAACAGTATTTTGTTTCTGAGTTTCTTAGTGTTGCTCTCAAGTGGGATACAAAGAAGGTTTTGGAAATACTATGGTCACATTTTCTTGAGAAGCAGCACAGAAAAACTTTAATCTCATTTAAGGCCTTGATAATTTGGTAGAGCAAAAATAGATGAATGCACCAGGTTTGCTGTTTGGTGTGGGGAATGAAGCAGCGGTGGGTTCCTACCGGTTTGACTGAACCAGTAGTGGTTTGGTGGCCTGGGCTGCTGGAACGAGCTGCAAGCCAGTCTTGCCACGCCCTGAATTGGTTCTCCTATGGCACCACCATCTTGATTTTCAGTTCTGCGCATGCACAGGACAATTTTCATTGAACAAATTTAATTTGTTTTCATTTTTAAAGTTTTGTGCATGCACAGACCTGTTTATGAGCAAATGTGCAGGCACATTTTTGCACGCACCGAACCGGCAGTAATGCCAGGAGCAACCCACCCCTAGGATGAAGGCAAAGGTTCGTATCTTTTCAGTACAACTTTTTTTAGACTACTTTTCTGTATTGCATCTGTTGTACTTGTTATGTAATGGGGGCGGGGAATTATTGAACGTGTTCTTCTGCTTTTAATAGCAGCTTGATCTGTGGGCACTTGCTGATGAAACCTCTGAGATGCAGAGATAACATTATCTTCTGTTAACATTAACAGACATAAATAATTTTACAACCTTATCTGCAAGGACTAGTAATTAGCAGCAAAACAAAAAGGCTGCAATCCCTGCCTGGAAACATCCTCCCTAAACTCTGAATGTTCCTATAGGACAAGCATTTCAGGAATTATGGAAAAAAGAGAAGGAAAAAAGGGCAAAATGCAAGTTGTGCAAAACTTCCTTGGCATCAATGGGGAAAAACACAGAGAATATTATGTCTTTGTGTTGGGTTGTACCTTCATTTTCTTTTTTGTGGTAATAGTAATGTTTTGGTCTCTTCATCTGTCCTTTGAGCATTAGATCGGCTTCAGAGGTTTCAAATTTTGGGTTGTTTTTGTTTTTGGCTTAGGCTGGATTTGGTTACGGCTTACCTATCTCGCGCCTGTATGCCCAGTACTTCCAAGGAGACCTGAAGCTCTATTCTCTAGAAGGTTATGGCACAGATGCTGTTGTCTTTATAAAGGTATGTCAGGGACCAGTTGTGGGGGCAAATCCCTTTCAGGTTAACACACAAAACTTGTTCCTAGCAAATGATTAACTCCGCTCTCCTTTCTTTTGTTGCAGGCTTTATCAACCGAGTCTGTTGAAAAATTGCCAGTGTATAACAAATCGGCTTGGAAACATTACACGGCCAATCATGAAGCAGATGACTGGTGTGTCCCAAGTAGCGAACCAAAGGACATGACAACATTCCGCAGCACATAGCAGGAGGCCAGGCGTGCTGAGCCAAAGAGGGTCGTGTCAGCTATGGTCAGCTTCCTTATTAGCACCACTATCACATGTTTTAACGGGGAAGGATGCATCTCCATATCCAAGCTGGAGTCTGAAAACCATATCATTGCCTAGAGTGTTCATTTCTAACCAGTGGTGTTTTTCCTTCTTTGCATCTTAAATTCCTTCTGCAAATGCACCTTAGATTATTTGAGCAAAGACTAGAAGGCAAAAGACCCGAACAGTGTTCAGATATTGTTCTGCTTAACTACCAGTCATTCCAGTGAACGATTCATGGGATGGATGATTTACTTTATACACCTCCTCTGGGATCATTTGCACTAGCGCAGCCTTTTTTTTTGCTCTCAAGGACTTCAGAAGGGCTTTCCAATGTGAGAGAAACAATGTGAGCTTATCCCGTTTGTTCCTTTTTTTGTATTAAACATTATGCGGAATTGATTAATTGGTTGCTATCAGCATAAACAACTCTTTATATTTATAGGTCTGTATTTACATCTAGACGTAGAAGTGCTTGAGCCTCATTCATTTTGTTTTGAAAATTGAACTATTTTAAATAAATAAATGATACTTCAAAGGACTTAAAGCACTTGGCTTGTCCAGGTGTGGTGTTTTCCCAACTGGGGAAAGCAGAAATTTTAAGGATCCAGAAAGGAGTTATTACCATTAAGTAGGCAAAAGATTGTCTTATTTTCCTCTGGGATATTAATGGAATTTAAAAGTGTATAACTTGAGCTGAATTTTCCATTCACAATCAGGGAACTTAGTAATGTTGATAAAATCCTTCCTAATAGAATACCACTCATACACAAGTGTTGCCAAATACAGTTGGTCTCACAGATTTTGATCACAATACGCGATGTAAGGGTTGCCATGGGATTGCAATGAATTCGTTTCTTTTCACATTTATTCTAATATTTCCATAGAACAGTGAGATATGCTTGCTTTCTAAGAAAACAGAAATTGGAGCGTTATACTGTGTTATTTAATTTATATTGCTTTATGGCATATTTTAATGATTCCAGTTATGTTTTCCCTTTCTGCAAGGCAGATTTGACAAATAACCTAGGTGTTCAAACCAAATTTCATTCCACTGAAATCAGTTGAATACTGAGATCACTGCTAATCCTTTACTATTGTAGTTACCTAAAGTGGCACATCTACTCAAAAACAAAAGCCCGTTGCATGAGTAAAATATGTATTTTGAAACTGCATGACATCATAAGTCCCATTGTTCCTGGACTTAGTGGGACACAGAGAAGAAGTCTGGCTTAACTTCCTCAGCTGATACTTGGGAAAGCATCATTCACACCCTGAGTGATTTGAAGCCCCTCACCACTGCAGATTTGGGACCCATTTCCCATTTTCATTTCAAGTCAAAAAATAACTAGAACATTTTTGTCTGACTGACAGATGAAAGTTTCAGAAGACCATATAAGGAGATAATATGTAATGAATTTCAGACCGATCAGTACAGAATGGGTTGTGTGCAAAATGAAACAATATACTTTGAAATTAAAACAAAAACCAGCCTCATTTGCCTGTTACAGCTTTTGGGTTTCTCTCATCAGGGAGGATGTTGTTGAGCAATAGTTCATAATCATTGTATCACTCCACTTAGAGGTAGGAGACAATATCCTGTGTTCCATCAGGAATCTTGAAGCAATAATATATTGTTCCTACAAAAAATAATTATTGGTCAGACGATGAAATACCTCTTCTCTCCCAGCAAAATGAGCCCTGAATTGTAAAAAAAGATTATAGATAGCTAATAAAGACAATTAAAACAATAAGAGTGCAAAGCCAGTTAGTCACTAGATAGATACATAAAATAATGTTCCTGCAAGTAAAACCATTTACTCAATGCTAAAATTAGTTATTTGTTTCGTTTGTGCTGCATTGTGTTCCAGTATGATTTCAAATCTCAAGCTTTTTATTTTGGAAATGCACCTTTTTATATACCTCAACCCCCCCCCTTATAATCCCCCGTTACTTGGACAGACTGACCCCTAGATGATACACAGTTATCCTCATCTGCAGTTGTGATAGAACATTTTCAAGTCTTTGATGGAACAAAACTTCACCTACTGTGAATCTTATTGCTATAGGTAACAATGGCAGTTCGAATTAGCTTCCTTCTTTCATCTTAGAACCACCCAAGAAAAGGTGGTGGCAGTCCATCCTGAGTCCTTCATACCAATAGAGAAAATGGGCATGTTTAAAATGTTTTTTAAAACCTGTAGCCAATAATGAAAACAATCGTTCAGCTTAGCCGTAGAACAGAGCCCAGTGAGGAAGCATCATCAGTGATCAGCCATTCATGGAAGAAAGGCAGCAAAATGACAAACCCCTCTATAACAAGGATTTTTTAAAATTCATCATGCTTACCTATCTTCCTTTTGTCCAAAATCTAATTTATTGACTTGCCCATAAACCAACCTCCTTGGCACTGGTCCCCTCCTGCTCAAAACAGCTCTGGACAAGAGCAGTGATGGACCCTCTGCCCCTTGCTTTGTTAACTACGCCCTTTATTGTAAGCTCCACGTTCGGGAGAATGAAAGGTAGATCAAAGGTGTCAGAAAACTCAGGATTCATTTGGAAAACAGGCTTTTTTGTTCCTTGTTTAGCAAACTTGAAAAAGCTATTTTGAGTGCAAAGCCTTTTAAATGCCTCAGTGCAAGTGTTTTTATGAAACACTTTGCATTCTTACTTTTTATTTATTTTTTAAATGGAAATTGCTGATCTCTTTGAGGCTAATTGGTGAAATTTCTTGGGAAAAAATGTTCTAAGAGCAGCCCTGTTAAATTCCTTATGAAAAGGTTCAAGTTCTTTTGTGGAAAAACAGTGTTTCTATTTTGTGTTTTTTTCCCCTGTAGGCAGTTGTTAGAAGAATAATGGAGAGTCTAGTGATGGCAACTAAGGAACATCCCTCTCAATTACAATGCTTAAGGCCATAATCCTTAACCCATTTTTACTTAAGAGAAAGCCTTAAAACATGACAGTGCCAACGTATGTATGGATGTTAGATGATCAAGAAAATAGATTAGAGCTGCCTTCGTGTTGGGAAACTTTACATTTCCTCTATCAAGAAACCAAGATAAATATACTAAAATCATAGGATAAATTATCCTTTCGATACCGGTAGATCAGTGCTGGTAGTTTTCAAATAAGCTACAGTACATAGTAAACCTACATTATGGAATTAATCATTGTCAGAAGGAAATAATTCATTACATGAATCATCAATCACAGGAGCACTGTAGATGGATTTGGCCCTTGAAAAGTTATTTTTCCAAGCTCAGGTGTCCATTTGAACCTCATAAAAATACAATCTGGAGCAAAGGACCAGAGAAAGACTGTTAGTATTATCTATCCTTGAATAAATTACAAATGTCAGCAGCACTCAAGTAAGCCTATGGTCTGATAATCCAATAATGAAATTTATCTGCCTTGTGCTAGACTGAAAATGATACAAATAGGCTTAACAAACACCACTAGATTTGCATATAGGCCTTTAGATATATGTATATTTTGTCCTTACTTAAATAAAATGGTATTGGGTGTTTGACAATTCATATTATTGAAAGTTTATAGAAATAATTGTTTATGCTACAAAGTGGATTTGCTGTTATTTTCAAGTTTGATTTCTATTAACACAATATATAAAATAATAATACACCTTTATGGGAATTTCTCACATTGATAGTACTAGATACAAAAATCATTGTCCTCATAGTTGAAAAGTAAAATGGAAAGCAATCATACTTTTTGTTTTTAGAATATTAGTCTTGTACTATGAAAAGTTGGATTTGTAAGAAAAATGACACTAAGTTTTGTAAAAAAAATAATAAAGTTTGACTTTTTTTAAAAAAAAAGGCCTACAGCATATTGAATGGATGACAGCTCCTGTTTCAGAAGAATTTTCAATTCATTCTGGTCACAAGAAATGTTTGTAGTCTACTTCTCTGAATATATGTGACTATGGACTGAAGCATTTACATTTTGTAGCGAACAGAAAGAAATCTCATCCCAAAAGGTTCAGAGACAAGTTACAAGAGAATTTAAATCTGATCTCTCAGTCCAGGTAGTGGACAATCAGACTCATTCTGAATACCCAGACTAAGAGATTGAGTCAAAGCAGTTAGTCAAAGCAAAGTCGCATGTGGTATATAATTTCAGAAGTTTCCTGTATCATAAGCTGCAGATAAGTCTATGAAAACAGCTGTGATTAGACTTTATTGAAAACCATGTCCTATATGCTGGACAAGTTTAAATATCTGACCTGTGCAGAAACCAGCTTTTTGGGAGGTAAGAGTTGGTTCAAAAACAGGAAACATTCTGTTTATTAGAAATCTCTCTTGTAGAGTTTAAAGGGATGTCAGATGAGGAAAGTTTTACAAATGTTCTTTAGATTGTTTGGTTCTTTCCCAGATTTCAAAAATTCAATAACCTGGGTTTTCCTCCAGATCACTGGAATACATTTTTGAGGCCATACAAGTAAACTTTCTGGGCACAGAACTTACAGATTTAACAAGATTGTAATTTTATGTGAGAAATGTGAAAAGCTTAGGTGAAAAATGAATCATAATTTGGGTTCTTTGAAACAGTTTTTTCAACAGTTTGTCTATTGGATTACACTGTGCAACTTTCACAAGAATTAATAACATTCCAAAATTCAGATTTCTCTTTTTTGAACAAAATTTATTCCATTTTTCAAAAGTGTCATTCTAAGATAGTTATTTTACAAAAGATTGTGCTGCTGCTCAATGGCAAATCAATTGTGATTTTCACCATTCTGGAGAACAAATAATTATTCATGAAAACAAAGACACGTTGAAGTCTACAGTGTATAATAGGTATAATGCAGAAACCTCGTGTTTAATTTAAATGGAGAGATAAGAATAATTCTATTTTGAAACTGTAAATCTGGAAGACCAACAGCATGTAGAAACCATCAAAAATATAATTTGGTCCTCAAATATTTAAGTAGGAAAAGGTTATGCATTCTGACCTTATTAATCACATGAACTATAAAAACCATTGTATACAAAAGTATATAAAAGATAACTTTTGAAGCCATGCTTAACATATTCAAAACATAGAAAAAATGTATTTTAGAAAATATTAACGAATTATATTATTACAATGCTTTGAAATTAAAGTGAACTCTGAAAAATACAGATTGTAAACACTTCATTACATTAGATTAAATTAATTTTCTATCACTTTTAAAAACTTAATTTCTTTCTATACAATACTATGAGCAACAAACTATCTCCAACAGAACATAATGACTTGATCTGTTCACCACATACCCCTGTTATACTGTGATTTGTATGACACCTTGTGTTTTAATAAATTGCATGTGCCATTACCAAAGACACTTCAGGGAATTAGCCAGACACATATATACATATTTTTTGAAAAATAGTTAATTTAATATCCATTAGTACAAGTTAATAATCTAAATATAAAAATTGAAATATTTTAATGCAACTGTATAAATGGGAAAGGACTATAGAAATCAGAGCTAAACTAAGCCTGACACTGTAAAACTACCATTTTCTTCCCTCCATAATTATACAGAAATATACAGTTGTTGCATTTTCTCAAGTTGGATTCTTATCCAATAAGGACTGAAGCATATTGGTACAGCTCTAGTTTAGCTCCAGCTATTTCAGAAGAAAGTAGTATGTTATCAAATCATGTTAGCAGTTTGATTCCACGGCAGCCACCAATTTGCCAGTTTTCCGCACTTCCTTCTCCTTCTTCTGAAACTTTTCTTTCTGTTTCTCCAGTTTTTCTTGTGTTTTTTTAATATCTTTAATTTTCTTCTTTATTGTTGATCGGTCATTTTGACTGGATACTCCTAAAGCCTTTAAAAGAAAAAAGTATGTTGAGCAGAGCAGAGCAGAATATAGTAAAAAGGGTGTCTCTTATTATAGCATTAATTTTCATAAACAAAAAAAATCAAATGTTAAAATGTCTTCCCTGTATCAGTGATGGCAGAAATAAAAAAGACCAACTTTTATGGCTTTCTCTACAGAAGCAATTGGCAACATTATTGAAAAGAAGTCATCAATATGTGGGAGATACCCAGTTCTTTAGTATCGCTCTGGGCTAAATGGCAAGTATGTTAAACATCTGACTGTTGTCTGGAACCTATCAGGTCCTGGATGGGGAATAACAGGCTCAGACCTAACCCAAACAGGCTGGAGCTGCTATGGATTCAGAAACCCATGACTTGATGAGACGCCAGGGAGAGAAAACTCAATCTAGGACAATATATTTGACTCACGACTCTTGCTGGAAAGTGGAGGTCATGGCTTAGAAGATTTTTACTCAGTTTTGGTAAAAATAGAATGGAATGTTTTTACATGGGGGTTACAGGTGCCAGAAAATAATAGTAATAATAATCATAACAACAACAACAACGGGCATGCACGCTCTAGTGATCCTAAGGGTTATGCTGAACAGATGCAACCATATCAGACAGGTCTTAGGTGAAGAGCCAGACAAAATTTGCTCCACAACCCATTCAAACATGGTGAATACAAGAAAAATGAAATTTATGTCCGCTGAACCGTTGCCCGGATTAACAAGGGTTCCGTTGGATGCTATGGCTCCTGGGCATTCTGCGCAAAATGAGCTACAGGGCTCAGCTCCCTCTGCTAGGCAACCAGGGCATGGAGCTGACAAGCTATTGGAAGAAAAAGCAAAAAATCTGGACTAGGGAAGAAAACATCTCTATTATGGAAGCAGAGGGTTGTTGCCATTGCTGAAAATATTAAAAGATATGAAAACAGAGTAACTCAATTCAAAGAAAATTCACAGTTCAGAGAAAATCAGCACCAGTTTTATAAGAGCTTAGAAAGTGGAGATGGAGTAACAACAAATGAAAAGCCTGAGAGAGAGAAAGCTCTGAAATTCTGGAAGAATTTGTGGGAAAACAACA